CATGACATTTAGAGTGGAAAGGATTTTTAGAGATCATCTATTTCAACTCCTGAATTTTACACAAAAGCCCGAGCAAGGTGTGTATGGGTCCAGGGTGGCATATGAATGAGTATGCATTTAGACTGGCTCATTCTAGACCTCAGTGGTTCCCCTCTATTTGCTGTTTCCTTCCCCCCCTTTTTTCCCCTACCCTATTTCCTTTTAAGACCATCTTTTAAGGTGCCCCCTCCTCCAAGAAATCTACCAGGATCTGCCATCAGGAGGTAAAAACTTCTCCCTTGGACCTCATACAACACTTTGCTTTTCACCTCTCTGTAGTTGTGTTTTTGTTAGCTCCATGAGGAGCTCATGTCTTATCTAAACAATGAACCTTACATGGCCATTGCAGAGAAGATGCTTAATCACTGCTTGTTGAATCAATGGCCCAGGGCAGATTTCAGTATGACCTGTTGTTGATCACCCAGGACAGAGATTCTCCTCTTTCAATCCCAGTCACTTGTTTATACATGCTACACCCTCCTGAGTGCTTTGTGAGATCTTCCATTTTGAAGGACAATACCAGTGCTTCATTGCAGAGCATAAGTCTGTACCAGCTTCCATCCCTTTAATCCTTCCTAGACCTAAAAAGATCAGGTAGTCCAGCGTCCTCATTTTAATAATAATAATTGCTAACATTTACATATGTGCCAGGCACCCAAGTGCTTTATAGTTTTCTCATTCGATCCTCACAACAACCTTGAAAGGTAGGATTGCTATTATTATCCCTATGTTACAGATGAGGAAACTGAGGCAAAGAGTTTAAATGACCTACTGGCCCAGGGTCACATGTTTGGTAAGTGTCTGATGCCAGATTTGAGCTTGGGTCTTCGTGATTCCAGGTCCAGCACTCTAACCATTGTGCCATCTGGCTGGCCATTTTACAGATGGGGAGGCTAAGACTTGTGTAAGGTCAGACGGTTAGTAAGTAGCAAAGCCAGAATTCAAATCCAGGTTCCCTGTCTCTATATCTATTGCTCATCCTCTACATCAGAGCTTTCAATTGATCCTTGTATAGAGCCTAACTTCCACTGTTCTTGCCTTCCTGGTTGGCCTTCTCTGGATCTGTCTAAATGTCTTTGGGCCTTTCTAAATTGTGTCCAGAACTTATTATATGCAGAGAGTGGTGGATACTGAGAAACAAAGACTGGGCCTGGCCTTCATGGAGCTCACAACCTCCAAAAACTCATATATGAATAACTATGGTATAGAATGATTCATGATAAATACATAATACTAATAACTGGCATTTACATTGAGCTTTTGCAGTTTGCAAAGCACTTTCCATAAATTATCTCATCTAAACCTCATAATAAATCCATGAAATAGGAACTAAAAGAATTTTTCACCCCATTTTACAAATGCGGAAACTGAGGCTCAAATAGGGTAAGTGACCTGCCCATGATCACACAGCTATTAGGAGTCAGAAACAGCATTTGAATTTAGGCACTCTAGGTTCTAGATCCCTTAACTCCAGTTTTGTTTTGTTTTTTACTTCTGGGATGGGGGTCAGGGATAAAGGCTTATCACTGACTGGGGAATGGGGGGAGTCTTCATGGAAGAGAGGACATTTGAGTTTGGTCTTGAATAACATGGTCAGGAAGGGGCATAGAATGTCAACAGGTAGAAATGGGGAGGGGGGAAGCAATGTTCTAGGGATAGAGACTGGACCTGCAACTTGAGGGGCATTGGGAGCACCTGGCTAAGGAAACTCCTAGCAATGGATCTTCACATCTTCTCTGCAATTCAGTCTTATAGAGTCATCTAGAACATTTAGGGATGAAATGACTTGTCCAGGGTAGTATGTGACAAAGGTGGGACCAGTTCTTCCTGGCTCTCCAAGGCTAGCTCTGTATCCCATTATCTCTGTCTCTGTCTCTATGTCTCTGTTTCTCTTTGTTTCTGTGTGTCTCTGTCTCTGGGAGATGGTTAGAAGTCAGTACCTAAAGGGGGTTCCCTCTTTCTATTTCCAGGTTGTCGACCTATTTCTACTATGTAGTTAGATGTGTAACTGTGTTTCAGAATACATATACACTAGTGTGTGTTTGTAAGTTAGGTATGTTATGGGAGTGTGTGCAGTTAGGCATGTATGTATTTATGGTCATAAGTAGGTGTGCTTATGTAATATACTTAAATAACTTCAATGCACAGTGTACGTCTGTCTCTGTATCTGTGGGTCTGTGTGAAGAGTAGTTAGTGAAGCCTTTTGCAAAGATTTCTCGGGGGTGGAGGGTTGGGGGAGACTTGGCAAGGAGCCCCATCCTAGAATTATTTTGTGCCAAGGCCTGTCCCAGTCAGCAGCACCACCTCCTCTCCCATTCTGAGAGTGAGAGAGTGAGAGAGAGAGAGAGAGAGAGAGAGAGAGAGAGTGTGTGTGTGTGTGTGTGTGTGTGTGTGTGTGTGTGTGTGTGTGTGTGTGTGTGTGTGTGTGTGAGAGAGAGAGAAGGGTGGGGTCATTTCCCCACCCAGCTAAGGAGGGTTTGCTCTGGATTCCCTGGGGTGGAGCTGGAGCAGCCTGGGCCTAGCCAGGCTCCCTGAGGACACAAGGAGCTGGGCGGGAGGAATGCTTTGTGTTGGGGCAGTTGCCATGGGGATGGAGGTCCTGCTTTCAGGCAGCTGTAGGGGCTGGGGAAGGGTTAGGGGGTTAGGGAACTGGGGAGAAACTCCTGCCCTCAAAGCTGGAGCCCACCATTGTCCCATCCAACCCTTCTGCCTCCCTAGACTGGGTTGGGGGTGGAGGGCATGAAGATGATATTGAGAGGCTGAGATCTCTGTTAATCTCCTGTATTCAGCTGTCTGTTTTCTGGGGCTTCTTAAGATACAGAGGAAGGAAGGGGGCAAAGGTCCCTGCTCCCCTGGATGGGCCCAGTCTTCTGGGAGAGACACAGCACGGCATACACGCAAAATGAGACCGATTACGGAGACAGAAAAAGAAATCTGTCTCACAGATAGCTAACTATGCAGGTTCAACTTCCCTTTACATAACGAGTGAATTCCTGAAAAGTTGGGCAAACACATGAGTTTTTATAAATTGAATCAGATCACATTTTAAGTGCACCAGGAAAGCAGGCTTCTTAAAGGAATCTTTAAGTAAGACTCCACCCATTTAGCTTTGTCATAAATCATTTCCTCCACTGGGTTTGCTAAGGTGAGAAAGGTCTTTTGGAATAATAGAGACAGCATGCAACAAATAGCTGGAAAACCAGTCTGAGTCCAGAAGTCCTAGGCCCAAGTACCACCCCGATATAAACTGGCTGTGTCACTCTGGGCAAGGCATTTAACGTCTCTGAGACTCCCTCTGTAAGGGGCAAAGCACGTGCTCACCTGTACTGGCAGAGGGGGTTTTCTCAAGGGAAATTCCTTCACGGAGGAATTGAGTTCACAGAGCCAAATAAATAACAACTAACATTTACTTATAGAGGCTGTTCCAAATGTATTAGTAGAGAGAACACTTTCAGTTTAGGGGATCAGGGAAGGCTTCAGGGAGAAGTTGGTGGTAGCCGAGGCAAGACTTTTGGGACAGTGCCTGTATGGTGCCTTAATGTTTTTTTCTTTTAAATTGTGTTATTGTGAACTCTAATGGTAGTCAACAAACACAAACATTTCAGTATCTCTGTCAGCCTTGGTTTCCTCATCTGTAAAATTTAAATGATGAAGGTCCATCAATCAGCCAGTGCCTTGCACATAGTATGTGCTTAATAAATGATTGCTGACTGACCCTCCTTCCCCCCAAAAAGAGCTAATATCCCTCAAACACTTTGCAAACCTTAAAGTGCTATGTAAATACTATTATTATATACACAGCAGAACAACAACAAAGTTGCACACAGAGCTGGTGGGTCACAACAGCCCTGCAAGGTAGGGAGCGTTTGATCTATGCAAAAGCTAAATTAGAGGGCGCACAGGTACCAAAGAGCTTGAAATTTACTTTAGAAAAAGTCTCGTGATTCTTTTTAAGAAGCCTTCTTCCCTATCGCGCTTATCAACCGGTCAGCCAAGCAGCATTTATTAAGGGCTTACTATGCCAAGCAGTGGGGCTGGAGATTCAAAGAACGACAAACACATAGACCCTGCGCAGCCTCAAGGAGCTCACATTCTACTTTGTGGGGAGAGGGGGACTCCCATTCTGATGGGGGTGGAGAGGAATTCACGTTAGGATAGGGGGAGGGGAGTTCCTATTCTACTGGGGGGAAAGCTCTGATTCTAATGGGGGAGGGCAACTCAGGCTGTCGGGGAGAGGGGACCCCACATTCTAATGGGGGGAGGAGAGTTCCCATTCTGTTGGAGGAGGGAAGCTCACATTCTGATGGGTGGAGGGGAGCTCACATTCGAATGGGGTGCACAGCAGGAAAACAGCTATGTCAGTATAGGATATATGCAATATAAAGAGGAAGGGAATCTCAGAGGGAAGGCAGTAGAACTTGGGATGGCAGGGGAAAGGCCTCTTGCAGAAGGTGGGATTTGAAGCGAGTCCTGAAGGAAGCTCAGGTGGGAAAGGGGTGGGGGAGGAGGGAGAGATCATCCCAGACATGGAGGGCAGTCAGTGCAAACACCCTTAACATAGGATTTGATTTATAAGAACTGAAATGTTGGCTCCACTTTTCAGGAAACCACTCGTTATGAAAAATGAGATGTCACGTGCACGTGCCCCGATTTCCTTCTCTGTAGGTGTGTCACCTCTGTGTGCGCTGCCTCTCCCAGGGGCCCAGGCACGCCCGTGGCTGGGGGTGGGGGTGGGGGTGGGGGTGGAACTGGGACCTCGACTCGCTCTAGGTCACAGGGTGGGGGAGCGCCGGCTCAGAAGCCTCATTCTCCCTGGTCCCGTTCCCTCCCCGCGCGCCCCCAAGTCTCGCGATCTTTCTGCTTCCTGCTCTCCCCATCGGCCTCGCTCCCTCGCAGGGGCCACGTGCTGCGGTCTGCTCCGCGTGCTCTTCCCTCCTGACTCCTTCTGTCTTGCCCCACAGACGGCGCTCACAGCGTGAGCGCCCAGTGCGTGCTGCGGGTGACCATCATCACGGACGAGATGCTCACGCACAGCATCACGCTGAGGCTGCTGGACATGTCGCCCGAGCGTTTCTTGTCGCCGCTGCTGGGCCTCTTCATCCGCGGCGTGGCCGCCACGCTGGCCACACCGCCAGACCACGTGGTGGTGTTCAACGTGCAGCGGGACACGGACGCGCCGGGCGCGCACATCCTGAACGTGAGCCTGTCGGTGGGGCGGCCTCCCGGGCCTGGTGGCGGGCCGCCCTTCGTGCCCTCCGAGGACCTGCAGGAGCGCCTCTACCTGAACCGCAGCCTGCTGGCGGCCATCTCGGCGCAGCGCGTGCTGCCCTTCGACGACAACATCTGCCTGCGGGAGCCCTGCGAGAACTACATGCGCTGCGTCTCCGTGCTGCGCTTCGACTCCTCGGCGCCCTTCATCGCCTCCGCCTCGGTGCTCTTCCGGCCCATCCACCCGGTCGGGGGCTTGCGCTGCCGCTGCCCGCCGGGCTTCACCGGGGACTACTGCGAGACCGAAGTGGATCTCTGCTACTCTCGGCCCTGCGGCCCCCACGGGCGCTGCCGCAGCCGCGAGGGCGGCTACACCTGCCTCTGCCGGGAGGGCTTCACCGGTGAGCACCCGGGGGAGGAGCTAGGAGGGAGGGGGGATGCTGCGCAGCCAAGGGGGGAGGGGGCCGAGAGGAAGAGGGGGATGATGTGCAGCCAGAGGGGGGGTGGGAGGGAGGGAGAATGCAGGGGTGGGGGCTAAGAAGGAGGGGGGACGATGCACAGCCAGAGGGGGGGCTGGGAGGGAGGGAGAATGCAGGGGTGGGGGCTAAGAAGGAGGTGGGGATGATGCACAGCCAGTGGAGGGGGATTGGGAGAAAGAGGGAATGATGGTGGAGGGGGATGCCCATCTATGGGGGAAAGTGGTTTAGAATGAAGGGAGATGCCCAGCAATTGGGGGGGGGGCTGGGAATGAATGCTTATTGATGGGGAAGTATTGGGAGTAGAGATGGTGAGTGGTGGAGGGGAGAAATTAATAACAGAGACACTGAAGAAGGTGTTGGGAGTAAAGGGAATCCATTGATAAAAAAGTAAGACTAGAGAGGTGGGGAACAGGAAGGGAATACTGGGAATGAAAGAGGTGCTGAGTGATGGTGAGGCCAGCTCAGGGACACTTGAGGAGGAGAACAGGTGGGACTCTCCCTAGGAGATTCAGGCTCCAGGGCAAGGAATAAGCTATGTTTATCCGTGTGTATTTGTCACTACATCCCCATGAGGAAGGTGGGACAAGGGTTTCTTATCCTGCTTACACAGTCTCACAGAGATAATTTGCCCATGGTCACACAATTAGTAAGAGACAGAGTTCAGATCAACATTTATTAAGTGGTTGCTGTTTGTAAGGCACTGTGATTAAAGGCATACTGAAGCAGTCCCTGCTTCCAGGAGCTTACATTCAGTGGAGGTGGGGGTGGGGGTGGGAAGGAATATGATATGTACGAAGACAGGTAAGGTAGGGAGTGGTTGGAGCCAAGGAGATTCTGACAAGGATCTAGAAATTTTTGAGAAGAGAGGTCACTTTTCATTTAGGGGATCCTGGAGGGCTTCATGGGGGAAGTGGTACCTGAGCTAAGTCAGAGGTGAGGAAGAAGTGCTTTTCAGGCATGAAGAGATGGCTTGTCAAATTTAGGGAACAGCTATCGTTCTAGTTTGGCTAGAAGAAAAAGTATTTTAATCATTGAGGACCTTAGGTGCCAAGCTAAGGAATTTGAATTTTATCCTAGAAGCAATAGGGAGTCACTGGAGGCTTTTGAGCAGGGGAATGACCTACCCATAAGGCACATGCCCTGGGCTTTATGAAGATAATTTTGACACCTTTGTGAAAGATGATTTGGAGAGGGGAGAGATTGGACGAAGGAAGACGAATTAGAAGGTGGTTAAGAGTCCAAGTGAATCAGAGGTTCTGAGCTAGGGTGGTGGCTTTGTGGAAGTATAAAGAAGGGAACAGATGTGAGAGATGCTGAGGAGGTAGGATAGACAGGGCTTGGAAGATAATTGGATGTGAGAGTGAAGGGAGAGAAGCATCCGAGATTAGATGCCTGGGAGGTTGCCTGTGTGCTCCACAGATAGAGGGAAGTTTGGAAGGAAAGTGTTGCTGTAGAGACTAGCCTGAAGGGAGGAAAGGGGGTTAAGACTAGGGATTGTGGATTGGGAGCAGAGCGAAGGTTGGAGAGCAGGTTTAGGTGGAGTAAGACCTAGGGAGAGGTGAAAGCACCTGAGATAGTGATCGGAAAGGGGAATTTGGGTTTAAGATCACTGAGGTGAAACGGTTAGGGCTGATGGGGAAGTCTAAGGTGTGACCACTTATGTAGGGGATATAGGTCATGAGAATTGAGGAGGTGGATGAGCCAGGAGGCCAGGGTGTTTGAAGAGTTGTTGGTCTTAATAAGGTGATCACAGAGAGAGAAGCAGGGAGAGAGGAAGGCTTGGGGTTAGGTACTGAAACTCATTGAGAAAGGAAGGAGAGTGTCCTGGAGATTGGAAGGTGCTGCCAACAAGGATATGGATGGGGGAATGAGAAAGGAAGGAGTGGAATTCAAAGAAGTTGTATGATGGAAACTGGAGGAGGATCTGGAAGGGGAAGGGGATAGGGAAGAAGAGGTATTCTGCTTCTTTTCAGCTTTGTGAGCAAGCAGCCAGCAATAGAGAAAGTTGTAAAGGATCATGTGTCTTCAAAGGAAATCAGGTTTGTGAGCTCCAGAAGATGGGTAGATGGGAAACATGTGAAAGGTAGAAGATAGCAAGCCTAGGTTGAAGGGGAAGGGAGGGAGGAAGGAAAGAAAAAAAGTAAAAGAGCATTTATTCAGTGCTTACTGCATGCTAGGCATTGTGCTAAACGTGGAGGATACAAATACAAAAAAGCAACACCACCCTGTCCTCAAGGGGCTTTGGAATAGGGGAAGGAGAGGACTAAGGCTGGAGGTGAGTTCGGGGAGAGGTAACAGGACTGAATCCTGGGGCTTATTGGGTTGAAAAATGAGAGCTTGCTGCTATCGGGCAGGAAGTGGAGGACTTGTGGAAGGGAGAGTGAATCCATGGTTCTAATCCAGATTCTAGCAAGACAGTCCCTTTGCTAGGGAGGTTTCCCAGGATCCTCTTTGGTAAACCCTGGAGGTGGGCAGGAGAGTCAGTAATGTGGTGACCAGGACAGTGGTGTGACTTCCTATAACTCCAGGCAGCATGGGGCACCTGCTTCACCCTTCCATACCTTTTTACCACATTGTTTCTGAAGGCCCGGGGCCTTTGGTGGAGGGTAAGGGAAGAGTGGAGTGAAGGCACCCTGCAGGGGGGTTTCCTTCTTTTTCAGCTGCCCCAGCTGTTTTGGGTTTTGTTTTGTTTGCAAAGGTAATTTCCAACTCCAGATGGAGCCCCCTGTATTACGTGGAGTTGAAGGTAGGAGGGTTGATGTTAATGGCGATGGAATTTGAACCAGTCCTTCTGATTCTGAGTTGAATGCTCTTACCCTGTCACCACATGGGTGGACTTCTTTGAGTTAATTCTTCAACATTTTAATGCAGCGGGAATCAGGCTAAAATGAGGACCCCAGGGATGGTTTAGAAGAATTTTGCCTGCTGACTGAGATGGACTTCTGGGTTGATTGTATGTGTATGAGCCTCAGGATACGGGTTTTTTTGGTTTTGTTTTGTATTAGCTGATAACCCTAGGATACTGAAAGCCCTAGAACATGTGATTTTTGAGTCACTATTAGGGATCTTTGAAAGAATGTGGAGAATGGGAGAGAGAGAGACTGCAGGAATAGAGGACAAATGGACTAATTTCTAATAAAAAGAAAATATGGAAGCTGTACATTTTAAGTGAATCCTTTTGGCAAATTCTTGGCAAACTTCTGGAAAGCATTGTTAAAGTGTTGGTTAGTTTCCATATAGAAGAAGCAGAAGTGATCCGAAGAACCAGCAGGGCTTTATCAAAAGCAAGTCACTCTGCATCCATCTTTTTTCTCTTTTTGGTGGGAGGGGGGTTGGGGAACTAAATTAACAGATGAAGAGAATGCTATACATACTTTTAACAAAGTGTGTGATAAAACATCTCATATTATTCATATGGAAAGGATGGAGAGATATGAGTCAGATGATAATACAGTTGAATGGATTTGGAATTGGTTGAATGGCTAGACTGAGAGCAGTCAGCTTGGTAGGGGTCTCCATTAAGAGCCCCAGGGATCTGTGCTTGGCCCTGTGCTGTTTAACATTTTCATCAATGACTTGGATAAAGTCATTGGATTTGCAGATGGCACAAAGCTGGGAGGGACAGCTAACAGAAGGCATGACAGTGTATGGATGCAAAAAGATCTTGACAGTCTAGAGCAGTGGTTCTCAAGATATGCCCTGGTGACTATTGGGCATCCCTGAGACTTTTTGGGGGTCCTTGAACTGTTTTCATAGGTCAGAACCATTTACATGATTCATTTCTTGTTTGTTTGTTTGTTTGTTTTGGTTGGGCAGTTGGGGTTAAGTGACTTGCCCATTGTCACACAGCTAGTATGTGTCTGAGGGCGGATTTGAACTCAGGTCCTCCTAAATCCAGGGCTGGTGCTCTATCCAGTGCGCCACCTAGCTGCCCCATGATTCATTTCTGATATGGTAAATATCAAGAGTTGTAACCCCTCCATGGAGGCACCTAGGTGGTTGAGTGGATAGAGGACTGGGCCTGGAGTTGGGAATACCTGAGTTCAAGCCCAGCCTCAGACATTTACTAGCTGTGGGACCCTGGGCAAGTCACTTAACCTCTGTTTGCCTTAATCCACTGGAGGAGGAAATGGCAAACCCCTCCAGTATCTTTGCCAAGAAAACCTATCATGAAGAGTTGGGTGTGAATGAACAACATAACCCCCCTAAACAAAAGCTCATTAATTTGAGAGTAAAATTTAGAGTCTTGAAACCAGAAAGTTTGGGGACTTCTTCACTAGAGCATTGAGCTGAATATAATTAGATGAAATTTAGTAGGGATAAATAAATGTATAGTCTTACTCTTGGGTTCAGAAATTCAACTACAGAAATACAAAGTAGAGAAGGCATGGCTAGAAAGTGTATTGTCTCAAAGAAATCTTGAAAGCTGTGTATGTCAGCAATATGATTTGGCTGTCAACAAAGGTCATGGCCTTTGTTAAGAAAGGCACAGCTTTGGGGCAACTAGGTGGCGCAATGGATAGAGTACCGGCCCTGGAGTCAGGAGGATCTGAGTTCAAATCCGGCCTCAGACACATGATGCTTACTAGCTGTGTGACTCTGGGCAAGTCACTTAACCCCTTTGCCTAGCCAAAAAAAAAAAAAAGGCACAGCTTCCAGGGCCATCTGAGCTCTGTCCTGGATTGGGTCCCATCTATAGGCTTGTGTTCAGATCTCAGCCTTCATTGTAAGAGGAATATTCATAAGCTGGCATTTCTAGAGGTGGGTGGACCCTGGAATCATGTTCCATGAGGATAAGTTGAAAGATCTGAAGATATTTAGCTTAGGAAGGAGAAGACTCAGAGAGGACATTTCATCTGTCCTTATATAGTAGGAAGGACTGTCTTTTGGAAGAGGGATTACACTTATTTGTTTGGTTCTCC